CCGAGCTTGGGCCGTCTGTTAGTGCCACTTTGACCCCTTGTTCTGGAGAGGATGTCGTTGAGTCATCGAGACATGCGCCTGCGCATATAGAAGGGGGTCTTTGGGTGAGAAGCCTCGGAGTGTCGGGGTGCGAGCGACATCTTTCCACCGTTTGTGATTTTTGCGCACAATGAGCTGGGCAGACACGGGACAAGAATTGAAAAGGACATCATAAAGTCGACTTGAGATCACTCGACCATGAGCGGTCAAGCATTGCTCGCAGAAGGTCGCCCACTAGAGAACATGATAGTCATCTCTCCGCTAGCAGCGTCGGAAACACGAGCAGGTGTCGAGGTGCTTGGAGACTCGGGTCGACTTTCTCAAGGGGTAGCACATTCAGTCGTTCGATATTTCTGGTTCACGCTTCCCTTTGCACTGGGGGCGCTGCTCTGGGACGTCGCTTCCACATCCACGGAGCTCGTCAGCGGACTACTATGGTTGCCCAATAACGAGGAGGAGGGCATCGGGAAACGATTGAGTAGGAGCACGGTCAAGTGGGCTAGAGCGGGAAGAGCGTTCGCATTGGCAGGTCACGCTTTTGCTGTCATGGCCTTGTCGGTACTCTACGCTTTGGCAGACGGCGATGCTCAATTACGCTGCGACGTTTGGCCAAAGATTGTCATCATGCTCGCAAGCCTGGTGAGTTGCAAAAGAAATCTTGGCCAGGTGCGGCAAGACGCTCACCGATGCTCGTTGCGCACTACAGAGCCTTTGCAGCGCTACAGCTTGCTTTGCTTCTCGGTGAGTGGACCTCCTCTTGGCGATGAGATTGCTCGTGCTCATGCTCGTGCGCATTCGTCGTCAAAACGGGCAGAGCCATGACAGCCCCATCTTTGGCGGTTCCAAGGATCACCATGACAGTGCTAGTCGTTGCTTGGATTGTACAGCTAGCCGTCAGCATGTCTGCCCTCTCAGCTTGGGCTGGCCTATCGCAGCTTGGCGGCCAGCAGCCTGGCGCCTGCAGCCTTGTCGTTCAGCGCTGGAGTGGCCTCTTGTAGTGAGTCGGAGGCATGACAATTTATCCCGCTCGTTGCCTCGCTGACCTTGCCAGCACATCCCATCAAGTCTGCCTCCTCTGCTCATGCTCGTGCTTTTAGCGATGATGCTCATCTGTTCGTCGTTCAGGCCAGACTCGCACATCAGCTACATGAGCGTAGAGTCCGTAGGCGCAGCCCCCTTGAGCAGGCCCAGCATTCCGCCGCGACGGTCGAGCCGCTCGGCCAGCATGGGT